AATCGTTAAATGCCGAACGCTTATTTTGCTACTTTTTCGGACTAGTGAAATGGACTCTTAAGTGTTCATCATACTATTCAACGCTTCGACTAAGAATGTCTCCTTTCATTGCCTTTCAACAATTATTCTTCCGAACGAATCCAACTTCTAATCTTTTACAGTTCAGAATTAATATCAATAGCCACACACCTATATTTTCAGAAAAATCCAAAAGAAAAATAGAGAAAATTGCGCCATAAATTTGGAAGATGTGGCTTGTGGAAATTACACAAGCGGGACTTGGAAGTTCTCGGGTCGGAAAATTTCAGGTAGTTGACTTTCTAAGAGGGTAAAAGTCCCGAAAAACTAATAAATATGTTAAAGCCATTATTTTATGAGAGCAAAGTTGAACCTTTAGTTTCTCTAAAGCTCTCCACATTATTTATTCTTATTCTATCTCGATCTCACACTTAATATAACTTGATTTTTATGTAGCGTTTCTTCATGAAAATCCTCAGTCTGCCATAGCACTGATTAGGTATCCTATAAGTATACAGATAAAAATTTTGTCCCTAATTCGTGGTACGAAAATTGTTTTTTATGACGATGTGCAAACGAGTCAAATTTCATGTGCGCAAAAATTAAGTCGCGTAAAATAACAATAAACAGCGTAAGAGAGAGATATCGCTACACCGAATAGCGTGCATGGACGTTAATAAGGCCAGGTGTTATTTCCTTTACGTATTAACTCTCTTAAATTAACTCTCTTCATTTATAGTTATCGGATCGGAAAGAATTCTGTTCGCGTCGCGTCCGCTATTTAAACTTAACCTAACTTTCAATTTAAAACTTTGAAATTGTTTTGTTTACTAGGTATTTTAAAACTAAAGGGCTAAAGTGCTTATTTCCAGTGCTTTATTGTTCAACGTCTGCCAGTGGGTTTAGGACAACAAGCAACAAATTCTCTTAGAAGGGCTAAGTCGTCATCTGCTGTAAACCTAAGCCTCTTTATAGGTTCTTTAATATTAGAAGAGGTGGAATCCATATTTTGGGCCATATTTATTTAATTAAAACTAATCCCAGCTACTTAAATATCAAATTACCTAATAAAACTAAAGTAATAATTCAAAACAATTCAAACATAATCTAAAATAAAAAGATCTCGCCAGCCGGCCCGGTTGTCAAATACCCGCACGCATGCCCATTTAAGCAATTTTTAAACGATATTTAGAAATATAGCGCTTGGTGTAATTGATCCGCAAATTACGTCAGGCGGTAACGTTATTAGCGGGTGTTGCGTTAAAACTGACTCGCGCATATCGTAACTGAATCGTAACCATGATAAAGGTACGCTTAAATACTGCATGACGCTATTCGGTTTTCCGATATCTCTCTAATAACTGTACCGGTCAGGCACTGTGCACAATTTTAGAGGCCATAAGTGGGCGTGCTATGTGCGCAAACTAGTAACCTAACTAGTGCCCGATTCCGAAAATTGGAACCACGAAAAACAATAAAGAAAAAACAAAGTTTATAATCTGTATAATCTGTGGCCATAGTATCATTTTTTTTATAGATTTATTGTTTCGCAATAATGAAAAAATAATTAATGCTTTTAGTATGGAGTTGGATACGTGAATTATGTATCACACTAAACATTTATTGCCTCATAAAAAAAACAGCCTTTTATTATTTTTTTCATAAAAATTATAAATCACAAAAGCTGTTTGCAAAATGTGTAATAATATTTTTTATTTGAAATTGCTCGAGGTGTTGTAAAAATTCGTTAAAGATACTGTTGATAACCCTTTTTAGGGTTTCAAAGTTTTAATAAGTTGGAATATACATTTTTAACACCAATCTATAAAATATTTTGTAGAAAAGTTTAGTAAGGTGAAACATTAAAATGGACTTATGGCCAGTTGTAAGGCCGAAATATGCCTCTGAATAGTTGAATGTCAATCCTGTCATGTAAACGCGAACCTTTTAACAACGTAAATGTAAAATAGAGGAATGAATGCATGCCTTGTGATTGGCTAGCTTTAATTAAAAGTTCGAGATCTTGTTAGCGCACTTTGAAATTGTTTTGCTTTGTTTTGGAGGTGGGCAATAAACTAAAACTTTGTTAAACTCAGTTTCAATGCGATTTTTGCTTATTCAGCGTACTTTTGATCATAGGTACATTTTGTTTTTTTATCGAAATATTTATTGGGAAACTTTTCACAAATTTCGTCAAGTTATTATCAACATCAGATATAGTTTATTCTGCGAGAGATTATATTCCTTCAACAAACAATATTCAAAAAATGACAGCAAATGTAAATCTCAATTACATCTCTATCTCTCTCGTACAGTGTGTTTAAAACAGCGTCTATGCTATCTCCGAAATGTTATACGAAATATTTCTGGAAATATTTCGTAAAACATTTCGCAAAACATTTCTGGAAATAGTATATTAACTTATTGAAATAGTTTGATTAACAATAAAGAACAAAACGTCTCGATTTATTTCAGGAAACGTGGGAACTAATTTTTATAACACGGGCTTATATTTATCGTACTATTTTGTGAAATAGCACGAAACAATCAAGATCAAACGTCATGGTGGCTTCAGAAAAAGAAGTAAACATGGAGTATGAATAAATATCATTAATTTGTAACGGATTATAATGTAATACCACTATATTAAACTGATATGAAAAATCAAAAACAGTGCATTCAGAAAACAGTTACCGATGGTAGATTAAATTGGCTATTCCTCTAAGGTTACACAAGAATATTTAGTTTCATTGTCCTAACATTATTAATTACAATATAGTAAAAATATACAAATTTATTATAATACAATTAAATAGTAAACATATTGTAATTATATTCCTGCACATTGAGTGAAATGTTTTGTTCTTAAATCTCTACTCTACAAATTATAATCGCGTGTTCAAATATTAATCTTGCGGTATATACAGGGGGTGCTACAAATTCGAGGTACGAGCATTGGTATCTCGGTAACCGTGATAGATACAAACATAGTTAAATTGGGGCAAAATTGCGCTTTGTGATGTTCACTAAGACGCCATCAAAAAAGTTTCAAAAATTTTAAGGATTGTTGAGTTTTTTGGAAAAAACGGATTTTTTTGAAAATGAATTTAATTTTTTCCTGTCGTTACTTTTAAGAAAATTAAAAACTAATTGCATGTCAGTACTTTTAAGAAAAGTAAAAACTATATATGCACATATCTCAGACTTTATATATATATATATATATATATATATATATATATATATATATATATATATATATATATATATATATATATATATATATATATATATATAAGGGCATATATATTATATAGTATTTTTAGATTTTCAAATTAGCTGATAATTTGTGAGATACAGAGGCCAACTTAATTTTTTTAAATACGGACCTGCATTTTTTTATTTCCGGTTTTGAAAGAACTCGGTCTCCTGAGTACAATGATATGCCACAGTTTATCATTTTTTTTTTGTTTGGGACCTTAAAAACAAAAAACTATTTGGAAGTATTATTTAAAATAATTTCAAGTCCGACTCTGTTTTTTAATTATTTAATCTGATTATATTCATTTGCAACAATACTGATCAGCGCTAATTAACATTGAATAAATAAAAATCCAGACAATTTGGAAGATTCGTTTATAGTATTTTTTAACTTTTTATTGTGAATTTGAAATCTCAGTGTGCGATCTAATAATATGCATAATATTCATCGTAGTTATTATAAATAAATCAACTTCTACAAACTAGTTTCTAATGCTCTAAATGTTCAAAGGGGTTACCACCCTCCCTATTGCATAAATTTTTCGTTCAATTTTATTTATAGCTCTTTGAACTTTCTTCTTATACTTCCGAAAGTATTTTGTACTCTTTATTGTAAATGTTAAAATGTATTGATTTCACTTTTACAAATGACGTGAAGTAATGTATTCATTTGTATATTATTTTTTATTATTTTATTGCATTTGATTTTCCATATTCAATGTTTTACCCCACGTCATTGTTAAGTTTGAAAGCTTATCAATATTGTAATGATGATGAATAGATTAAATATTTAAAAAAAACAGAGCCGGACTTGAAATTAGTATAATAAATTGTGTTCAAATTTCCGAAACAAAAAAATATTAAGTGTGGCATATCATTGTACTCAGGAGACCGAGTTCTTTCAAAATCTGAAATAAAAAATGCAAGTCCGTATTTAAAAAAATTAAGTTGGACTCTGTATCTCACTAATTATCAGCTAATTTGAAAATCTAAAAATACTATCAGATAACCCTTATAAAGTGGCTATGAGCATGTGCAATTAGTTTTTTGATTTTCTTAAAAGTAACGACAGGAAAAAATAAAATTAATTTTCAAAAAAAACCGTGTTCCCTAAAAAACTCAGCAATCCTTGAAATTTTTAAAACTTTTTTAATGGCATCTTGGTGAACATCCCAAGGCGTAACTTTACCCCAATTTAACCATGTTCGTATCTATTACGGTTTCCGAGATACCAATGCTCGTACCTCGAATTTGTAGCACCCTATATATCAATATAAAACGAGATATAATTAACGAAATATCATCGTAACAACACCTATTTTAGAAACGTCTAGGTTTACTTATTTCACTGAGATTTATGAAAAAAGGTACTTTGCCTCGGGTACAGATACCGCCACGTTTTGGAAATAGCTCAAAACGAAACAAAATTGAACGAGGCAACAGGAAACGCGAAAAAAAATCTCCCCACGCCCTCCTCACGTAGTTTTCAGGCGCTTTTAAGAATCGAAAGGTAGGTCGAGGCAAACCGAAGTGGGTCAAGACAACTGGAAATAAACTGAAATGCGACAAAGTGGGGTGAGAAAATGCGACCTTGACCTGCTTCGAAGAGTTCTGCGCATAGTGTAGAGGCTGTTTAAGACTATTGTGCGCGTAATAAATGAAAAACATTTAAATTTTCGGTTTCTCAGAAATTTTTATTATAAATTATTTATTTTTTCTAGGTGAAGTAAGCGCGTGATGGCTGGGGAGCCCCATGGCTCATCAAAGGGAAAGTAACATTACTAGTACCACTCCTATTTCGATCATCAACAGTACCACCCACCGACCCGCTTGGGAATATTATAAAACTTACGATGTTATGACCGGTGTTCGGATAGCAGCGACGCTGGGCAGTTTCTTCAGCCTCATGGTTCTTCTTGTTATTTACAAATCAAAAGAATCCAAGGTAGGGAAAATCATAAAATACTTTTTAGATAGAGTCTTTTTCAGAGTCTAAAACAGTCATAATACCCTATGAACGAAAAAAAAAATTACTGGAGATTGACAATTGATGACAATTTTGCTAAGTCTGTTGAATATTAATTATCAATAGTATATTACATACTGAGGAGGGAAGTGTTTCATGACTGTCGAGAGATTAACTAAATCTCCGAGACAATAAGTGAAAAGCTTTCCTCCGAGGGACTGCTATTTATTTACCTACCACATCATTAATTAAAAAATAGGGACAGTATTTTATTTGAAAAAAAAAAAAATAAATATACGAAAATTTCTCGTTTTTTGTTTTGGCATTTCCATATCTATAGTTACCGGTACCAGTGGTTGTTATGGCGCAAACCTTCAACAGCAAAGGAAAAACATAGATAAATGCAACAAGTTTAGATTGGAAAGCCCGTAAAAATTTTGGATCGCGAAATTATTTTTGGGTCGCGACCGTTATACGCGATCTGGCGCTGCTATAGCGGTCGCTAAGAACAACGGCAAACAAAAACAGAAATCATTTTCTCTTGTCAAAGTCAGAATCTTCAAAATCATAATAATCTTTCAAAATCTAAGCCGCTCTCATTAAAGAAATTCCGAAAAGTGTTTATATAACGTCCATTTTTCAAAGTAATTATTGCTATCTGTGTGAGTTTAATTCAAGGTTTATTTACTCCAACCGGTGATAATTGTGAACAAGTGGCATTAAAAACTTAAAAAGCTGTGCTGTGAACTGTGAACTGCAAAAACCAACGTGGATCGTGGCATAACGTCGGTTTCCAATGTTTCATAGGTATTTCATACATGCGTCCTTATATACAATAAAGTTTCTTGTATGCAATACACTGTATTTTATTTATAAAATTAAACGAAAATAATAATAAATTTGAATAAACAATATTTGGCGATATAATTCCGGAAAAAGCCGAACCGCTCCGAAATTTTCAAAAGTTTTGGGTCGCGACCGTTGCAAGAATAGCGCCAAATAGTGTTTACATTGTCCTTATGGGCACTTTCCAATCTAAACTTGTTTCATTTATCTATGACGAAAAACTAAGTGACAGTTTTGAATTTCTCGTTCGCTTTTTCAAATTTATATAACATAGAAAACCAGAATGTTGTCGGAAAGTTCTGATAATAAAGAGTACTTCAATATTGGTACTCCACCAGAACTTACAGAAGCTGCAAAAAGAGCAGAAGCCAGTTTACTTCCAGAGAAAAGTAGGGGGCGATATGAAATAGCATTGAAAGTATACGAAAAATGGTGTGTTGAAAGAAATGCTAAGAATATTGCTTCGGAGACAGTCTTGATGGCATATTTTAGTGACATGGCAATATAGAAAAAGCCATCTACTCTTTGGCTCTATTACACAGCATGCATACGGACAATGCTAGAATTAAGGAAAAAGACGACATATCGAAATATTACAAAATCGTCGCTTTTTAAAACGCGCCAGAATGTAGGTTTTAAGCCAAAGAAATCTAGCATTTTTACCTTCAACAAATAAATGTATTAAAATCTTCAATTATTATTGTTAATCTTCTTGTTTATTTTTGTTGATGTTAGATAAGTATTTAATAAAGATATTACAAGAATATTTTGCCTAATTAAATGAGGCGAGAAAAGAGAAAAACCGAGTGAGAGAAATGGGCGAGGGAAATGGAAGAAGGAAGAAATGTAGATAATTTGACCCTTTCAAATTTTTTAAAAGTCAGTAATGTCAGTATTACATATGCGGTTGTAAATAAAAGTATTTTCACTATACTTATAAAATGTGAACTTCTAAATTATAAACATACAGAATGTGGATAACGTAGGAGGTGGCAACATTGCATTCCCTCGAAGCACTACAAAAAAAAATTCAGAAACTGAAAAAACGGCACTCAAAAGTTTTTCAATATTTTCCGAAAAAATATAAAAAACAACATAAAATTTTCAACATTTTTTTTCTCAAAAAAACATAGAGCGTGTTTCTGGGGACCAACTATTCTACCAGTTAAGGAGGTTCAAATAGTTTACAATGTAAATTCTTCCTACAAATATCACAACTTTATTTCGTTAAATTTTTACATTGTTCGTTAAAATTTTACATTGTATTTTATATGTTTCTCATTTTCCTTAAATATGAATGTGAATGTGAAAAATGAATCCAAATAAAATTTAAAATTTGTATACAAAAATAATAAACCCACATGGACATTAAAGGTAGAATTAAGGTATCTGGATAAAACAAGACAGGTATTTGAAGTATAATAATAATACATGTTGAGATAATTAAGGACCAGAAACAATTCCATTATAACTAGCAGAGTTTTGAAACAATAAATTCATTTGTATGTTTGCTAATATTTTTTTTTTTTTCAAAAACTTATAAAATATGTAACAAAAACATTATTGATAATATTATAAATAGGTACATACAGAATTTGGCGCCCTCATACGCCACGGAGGCTCCAAAGGAGAACGACAGTTTGTATTGAAATGAAATTTTGTGAGCATATTATGTAGGTTAATTTAAAGTACTTTTTAAAAATATTGAGAGTTCTACAGGGTGTCCTCGAAAAAAGTTACATATCAAAGTTGTGTTTTTTGTATCGGAACACCCTATATATTAATTGATTTTCGGATTCTGGGAGAAAAATGAAGGTGAGTTTTATAAGAGCAGTATATATGACTAAAATGTAAGGTTGTAAAATTTTTAAATTTCAATAAAAGCTACCTAAATTGGAATTTTCCCGGTATAGCCTAAAGGTAAGTGTCAGGGCCATGTAAGTGAAATATTCAAAATGGTTCCAGCAAAAATCAAAATGGTTCCAGCAAAAGTTTTCCAATTATGACGGGCGATGGCGCTGATCGTCAAGATTTTTGGACAGGGATTTTGCTTACCGACAATACGACGTGAGCTACGACCGGACCAGGACCAATCAGAATTATCAGTTTTTCTTGGACATTTGCCGCGGAAGTGTGGTTGTGTTTGCAGTTTGATTTTTCGGTTTTGATATTATGTTAAAATTAATTTTGAAGTATTGTATCACCTGTTTTTATGCAATAGTACTTTTTTTAGTTCTATGATCTGATATGTTATGATTTGTTAATGTTTGCTTAACAATGTTATACCAAAGAGGTTATACTTAATATTTTATCAATAAACTTTGTAGATTTTCAGATTATTTAATTCCTTTTGTTTCGTTTGTAATTTTATTTTTAAGACATATTATGTGATTGTTTCAGATAATATGTTTTAAAAATAAAATTGCAAATAGCGAATAAAATTAATTAAAATAAAAAAGTGTATTTTATAATTCCCCCCGGCCCCGCACCCCTTTGGCTAACCTGTAAATGTCAGCTTTGTCGAGAGATGGCGTTACGAAAATGGAACCGATTTATTACAAGGAACTTGGGCTTCTTTTTCGTTAGTATATTCTGTGGTAAGTGTCCATTTGAGAGTATTACTCGCGCGAGAAACTCTCGATAGTAGTTCTCGTATGTCGATACACGTCTGCGACTACCTATCGGAGAATATTCATTTTACTATCAATAGTTTACTTGCAACGATTTGCTCTCAAGTGTATACATATTATTATTTTTAATAGCGGATAGTTACTTCTGAAATACGATTACGTTTCGTATTGTGATAGTTCTAGCAGAGAATTATTAATTTAAAATGGCAGCTACTCGCAAAGAGTGGTCAAAAAGACGATACTTTAATAAAGTATATACGAGGAAAATACAGTTTTGTGGGATACCATGGGATTAACTATCTGCACTTCTATGTTTCTTTCACACTACACATAAACAAATTAAATGAAAAATTACAAAAAATACAAACTGAATCAACACATACTAGAACTAACGGAAAGCTATTTAAAAAAATCGACCACAAAAATTTGCATGGAAAATATTGAAAGTAAAACTACCATGGCGCCATATGAAATACCGCAAGGAGAAATCTACCACCTCTGTATATCCTTTATACAAACGATCTCTACCGAACTAGCATTAAATCATTAAATGGCATCATATATGAATATGCCGATGATACATGTTTTGGTATATACAGGAAACAGATCAGAACATCCTTGAAACAAACATCAACAAAGACCTGCAAAAGTGCACATGGTGCTAGGCCAAACAATCTCCTAACCATAAACGAGCTAAAAACAGAATATATGATATTTAAAATCACAAAACAAAAATTAAACTTACAAATAAAACTACAAAACCATATTCTACAAGAAACATCAACAATCAACTATTTAAGGTTAAAAATACAAAATAATTTGGAAAAATGAAAATATACGCACAATTGCAGCTTTAATAAAAATTCAAAAATTGATACCAAATAACATGAGGAAACCTTATATCACGCACTGTTTACCTCAAGGATGAACTATTTAATGAATATATGGAGTAATACGACCGAAAAGAATTTAAACGCATTGCAACGCCAACAAAATAAAATTTTAAAATTAATATATAAATTACACAAAAAAACACCAACACACATATTATTTGATACAGTGCAAGAACTAGATATAAAACAATTAATACTTTTTAATAGCTTGCTAAATATTAAATTAAATACAAACAAGGAAGTTCAGAATTACCAAACAAGGAAAAAGTCACATATTAGATGCCATAAAGTAAAAAATAAGACATTAACACAAAGGCTAACAGCAAAAACAATTGAAACATTCAATAGTTTAGCAGAGAAGGTAAAAAAATTGAAATTTATACAATTCAAAAGGAGGATTAAATGGTTAATATTAAATAGAACCATACACTAAATCCAGAAATCGACGACAGAAATAATTAAGAAAATATACCTCCGATACCACAGAAATAATTAAGAAAATATACCTCGATACCATCTGGCCAGGATCTGGTACCAACAGGTCACTGATGCGACAGATGAAGAAGGACGACACCCAGATCTTCTATGATATGAATATGCTGTAGATTAT